ATGAAGGAACCTTTTAAATACAAGCACGCTGCTTAACAGAAAATGTACGCAGTTCAATAGCTTTGTCCGTGGAGTGGATGATTAAGGAGTGGAAAAAGTAGAAAAGGGTAGGGAACGGGTTTCAAACTCCAGGCCTTGAGGGCCAGTGTCCTGCAGGTTTTTAATATCACCCTGGGTCAACACACCTGAATCAAATGATTAGTTCATTACCCATGGAGAAGTTAAAGACATGTTGAGCAGGTAATTTACCCATTTAAATCAGCTGTGTTGGATCAAGGACACATCTAAAACCTGCAGGACACTGGCCCCAGATCCAGGTAAATCCAGGGCTGAACCTGGGTTGCTTTGGGGACCGGGGCTGGGTCACCTTCCTTTTAACCCTTATGTTGCACTTCTGTACCCGTGGACCGTGATGTAACAATTTAAAAAATATTCCCCTCACACCCCTGCGCGCGGTCTATCCTTCAAGCTCGGGCCCTCTACCAGAGGCCTGGGAGCTTGAGGGTCCTGCGCAGTATCTTAACTGTTCCTAGGACTGCGCTCTTCTGGACAAAGATCTCGGATGTCGTTCCTGGGATCTTGAGCCACTCTCCTAGCTTGGGAGTCACTGCACCGAGTCCTCTGATTACCACTGGGACCACCGTTACCTCCACTTTTTTTCAGCACTTCTCTGAGCCCTTCTTGTGTTCCTTTCTTCTTGATGTTGCTGTCATTCGGTATCACTACATCTATCACTACAGTCTACCGCTACTATGTCCGGTTGGTTAGCCATCAACAGTTTGTCCATCTGTATCTGGAAGTGCCACAGGATCTTAACTCGGTCATTCTGCACCACCCTAGGGTACGTCTCCCATTTTGACCTCAGGTCTTCCGGGCCATACTCGGCACAGATGTTCCTGTATACTATGCCAGCTACTTAGTTATGACATTCCATGTATGCCCTGACCACTAGCATCTTACACCCTGCTGTTTAGTGCTGGATTTTCTCAGGGCATCTTTACAAAGCCTGCACCTGGGGTTTTGCCTGGTGTGATAGACCCCAGACTTTATGAATCTTGTGCTCAGAGCTTGTTCCTGTGCTGCCATGATGAGTGCCTTTGTCGTATCTTTCAGTCCAGCTTTGTCCAGCCACTGGTAGGACTTCTGGATGTCAGCCACCTCCTCTATCAATGACCTGAACCTAACCTGAAAGATAGGATCATGGTGAAGCTTGAAACCTAGATCCTCCGTAGCTAGTTAACAAGACTATGTGAACTACCCTCAGAAGATCTACTAAATGATGAGAATGCTGCACTACAGACGATACCTACTGGCATCATTACTGAGACTAACCAGTTGATTTACACTATGGCAGCAGGGATCAGTGAGATGCTTGGTTACAACCTGAACAGTCACAAGGAGCAGTACCCTCCATGGAGGAGACTAGAGGCTAAGATTAAGGTAACATGGAGGGAGGTTAGCCAACTATCCGAGTTGCAGAACGGCAGTGAAGAAGGACAATGAAGAAAGTGCCTACAGCAAACTGTCTCATACCTGAGGCCTTGGAAAGTGCCAAGCAAAGACTCACAGCCTTGGCCAGCCACTTGAAGAAGTACACCAGAGAGATAGAAGGCAGGAGAATAAACCAGCTGTGCTCCACAGAACCATCCAAGGTGTACTCTCAGTGACAGAGGAACAATATGAGAACAGCACCACCAGGGCTGGAGATGGAGTAATACTGGAAGAGCAT